GATTTTTCAAATTAGTATGTATTCAAGTTTGTAACAAATATAATATTTCTGCTATTCAAATTTAGTAATGGGTGGTTTAAAGTCAGATTCCTGATCTATTTAATAGGTGCTGTTTGTCAGAATCTGTAGCACCCAAGACAAGGGAGTTGTTTGCCACAGGAGAAGGTTTTGGTGCATCCCCTTTCATCTTCATCCCCATCCCATCCCCATCCCATCCCCATTCCTGTCCCTGTTCCCATCCCCATTCCCATCCCTTTCCCACCCATTCCTGTCCCTGTTCCCATCCCATCCCCATTCCCATCCCATCCCCATTCCCGTCCCTGCTCCCATCCCCTCCCATTCCCATCCCATTCCCACCCATTCCTCTTCCCATCCCATCCCCATTCCCATCCCTCTTCCTACCCATCCCCATCCCCTTTCATCCTCATCCCCATCCCATCCCCATCCCACCACATTCCCACCCATTCCCAGCCCTGCTCCCATCCCATCCCATCCCATCCCATCCCATCCCATCCCATCCCATCCCATCCCCCATCCCATCCCCATTCCCATCCCTTTCCCACCCATTCCTGTTCCCATCCCATCCTGATCCCATTCCCATCCCCATTCCCATTCCCATTCCCATTCCCATCCCATCCCATTCCCATCCCATTCCCATTCCCATCCCATTCCCGTCCCTCACTTGACCCGGAAGTCGTCGGCCGCCAGCCGGGCGTTGTCGATCTGCAGCAGCGTCCGGGCGTTCTCCACCGTCACCTCGAAGATCTGGGGGGGACACGGGGACATGGGGACATGGGGACAGGGGAAAACGGGGATGTGGGACATGGGGACACTGTGCCATGGGGACACGGGCAGAGGGACATGGGGACACGGGGAAATGAGGAAATGGGAGATGGGGACATAAGGACATGGGCGATGGGGCCACATGGCAATGGGGACACGTGGACCCGGGGACCCGGGGACACGGAGACATGGGGACAGGGGAAAATGGGGATGGAGACCCGGGGGACATGTGGACCCAGGGACATGGGGACATGGGACGTGGGGACATGGGAAAATGAGGACGTGGGACATGGGGACACTGGGCCATGGGGACACTGGGCCATGGGGACATGGACAGAAGGACATGGGGACATGGGGAAATGAGGAAATGGGAGATGGGGACATGAGGACATGGGCGATGGGGCCACATGGACACGTGGACCCGGGGACATGGGGACATGGAGACACGGGGACACGGAGACATGGGGACATGGAGACACGGGAAAATGGGGATGTGGGACATGGGGGCACCGGGACAGGGGTACACGGGACAGAGGGACATGGGGACATGGGACAGAGGGACATGGGGACACGGGGACATGGGAGATGGGGCCACGTGGCCATGGGGACACGCAGACCTGGGGACATGGGGACATGGAGACATGGGGACAGGGGAAAATGGGGATGTGGGACATGGGGACACCAGGACATGGGGACACGGGACAGAGGGACATGGGGACATAGGGCCATGGGAACACAAGCCCATGGGGCCACGGGGACATGGGGCCACGGGGACATGGGAGATGGGGCCACGTGGCCATGGGGACATGGGGACACCGGGACATGGAGACATGGGGACATGGGAAAATGGGGACGTGGGACATGGGGACACCAGGACATGGGGACACGGGACAGAGGGACATGGGGACATAGGGCCATGGGAACACAAGCCCATGGGGCCACGGGGACATGGGGCCACGGGGACATGGGAGATGGGGCCACGTGGCCATGGGGACATGGGGACACCGGGACATGGAGACATGGGGACATGGGAAAATGGGGACGTGGGACATGGGGACACCAGGACATGGGGACACGGGACAGAGGGACATGGGGACATAGGGCCATGGGAACACAAGCCCATGGGGCCACGGGGACATGGGGCCACGGGGACATGGGAGATGGGGCCACGTGGCCATGGGGACATGGGGACACCGGGACATGGAGACATGGGGACATGGGAAAATGGGGACGTGGGACATGGGGACACCAGGACATGGGGACACGGGACAGAGGGACATGGGGACATAGGGCCATGGGAACACAAGCCCATGGGGCCACGGGGACATGGGGCCACGGGGACATGGGAGATGGGGCCACGTGGCCATGGGGACATGGGGACACCGGGACATGGAGACATGGGGACATGGGAAAATGGGGACGTGGGACATGGGGACACCAGGACATGGGGACACGGGACAGAGGGACATGGGGACATAGGGCCATGGGAACACAAGCCCATGGGGCCACGGGGACATGGGGCCACGGGGACATGGGAGATGGGGCCACGTGGCCATGGGGACATGGGGACACCGGGACATGGAGACATGGGGACATGGGAAAATGGGGACGTGGGACATGGGGACACCAGGACATGGGGACACGGGACAGAGGGACATGGGGACATAGGGCCATGGGAACACAAGCCCATGGGGCCACGGGGACATGGGGCCACGGGGACATGGGAGATGGGGCCACGTGGCCATGGGGACATGGGGACACCGGGACATGGAGACATGGGGACATGGGAAAATGGGGACGTGGGACATGGGGACACCAGGACATGGGGACACGGGACAGAGGGACATGGGGACATAGGGCCATGGGAACACAAGCCCATGGGGCCACGGGGACATGGGGCCACGGGGACATGGGAGATGGGGCCACGTGGCCATGGGGACATGGGGACACCGGGACATGGAGACATGGGGACATGGGAAAATGGGGACGTGGGACATGGGGACACCAGGACATGGGGACACGGGACAGAGGGACATGGGGACATAGGGCCATGGGAACACAAGCCCATGGGGCCACGGGGACATGGGGCCACGGGGACATGGGAGATGGGGCCACGTGGCCATGGGGACATGGGGACACCGGGACATGGAGACATGGGGACATGGGAAAATGGGGACGTGGGACATGGGGACACCAGGACATGGGGACACGGGACAGAGGGACATGGGGACATAGGGCCATGGGAACACAAGCCCATGGGGCCACGGGGACATGGGGCCACGGGGACATGGGAGATGGGGCCACGTGGCCATGGGGACATGGGGACACCGGGACATGGAGACATGGGGACATGGGAAAATGGGGACGTGGGACATGGGGACACCAGGACATGGGGACACGGGACAGAGGGACATGGGGACATAGGGCCATGGGAACACAAGCCCATGGGGCCACGGGGACATGGGGCCACGGGGACATGGGAGATGGGGCCACGTGGCCATGGGGACATGGGGACACCGGGACATGGAGACATGGGGACATGGGAAAATGGGGACGTGGGACATGGGGACACCAGGACATGGGGACACGGGACAGAGGGACATGGGGACATAGGGCCATGGGAACACAAGCCCATGGGGCCACGGGGACATGGGGCCACGGGGACATGGGAGATGGGGCCACGTGGCCATGGGGACATGGGGACACCGGGACATGGAGACATGGGGACATGGGAAAATGGGGACGTGGGACATGGGGACACCAGGACATGGGGACACGGGACAGAGGGACATGGGGACATAGGGCCATGGGAACACAAGCCCATGGGGCCACGGGGACATGGGGCCACGGGGACATGGGAGATGGGGCCACGTGGCCATGGGGACATGGGGACACCGGGACATGGAGACATGGGGACATGGGAAAATGGGGACGTGGGACATGGGGACACCAGGACATGGGGACACCAGGACATGGGGACACGAGGACAAAAGGCCATGGGGACATGGAGACCCAAGGACAGAGGGACATGGGGACACAGGAGATGGGGCCACGTGGCCATGGGGACACGGGACATGGGGACAGGGGAAAATGGGGACGTGGGACATGGGGACACCAGGACATGGGGACACAGGACCATGGGGACATGGAGACCCAAGGACAGAGGGACATGGGGACACAGGAGATTGGGCCATGTGGCCATGGGGCCACGGAGACATGGGGACAGGGGAAAATGGGGAGGTGGGACATGGGGACACGGGGGACATGGGGACAGAGGGACACGGGGAAATGGGGCCCCGGTGCCGTGATCGGGGCGCGGGGGCCCCCCCGGTGCCACCCCCCCCTTCCGCCCCCCCTCCCTCCCGTGGTGCCACCACCCGGCGTCACCCACGTCACCCAGGCAGGTGCCACCTGGCAGG